ATGTGATCCACACCCATACGCTGCACCTTGTAAGGAACTCTGCAGTCGCGTCAGAAAACAGTGCATTTCTACAGTAAGACAGTTGAGGATTAAATGGCCGATTCCTTGTTCAAAGTTTAAACGCAAATCAGAGGTTCCTGGTTGTTTGGATGCACCGTCCTCCCCCAAGGCTACCGCCCTCACCCCCAGGAATACCTTAGGAAACGGTAAGTGGTAAAGAAAAATAGAGATAGTACTTTTATTCGAGAAGCAAACTTCAAGAGTATAGGTTTGGTTTGGTTTTTTTGGATCTGATTTCATTTTTGCTTATGCAAGTCACGGTGGTGATCTATGGGTCCAGGTTCGAGCGCTGGGCGAGCATTCTGTTCCTAACCAGTCGTACTTTTTGCAGACCNCCCAAAATATGGCCTGTGATAACTTCCCCGTCGCAGGTCAAGGAACTAAGTGCATTGTTTCGCCGTCCTCACTTTCAACCACAGCACCTCCAACTACAAGACCCAGCAAGCGATAGTCTAGTTTTTTCCTGATACGTCTGATACTCAAGTAAAAGTAGGAGTAAAATTTAGTCCTTTGGACATCAGCACGGTTTAGATGGAAGAGGAACAACTACACCTTCTAGAGTTGGAAATTATTCTCACTAATCTTTTTCGACCAAACGCCTAAGACTGGGATAAAAAAACTCGGTGGGAAAAAGGACTAAATCAACAAATCTGAACATGTTTCCAGTGCTTAAAAGCACGAGGTTTAATACATGTTGTGAATATCAGATGTACATGGAGCTTTATTCAAAAATTCTTTTATCTTTTATCTTTCATCTTTCCTCGCGATCGTATCCTTTCACATAGTAATTTTGTTGTTCAACCGGCCTTTTTGTGTAAATTATGCTTAACATCCACATAAAGATAAAAACATCTCGAAAGATGAAATGGTCTGAATTTTGTTTGACGCAGGTGTACGAAATGTCACTGATTCCGTAGTAACCCAATTTTAGTCACTTTACAGGAAATTGGGGGGAAGTGGTAAGTCTTGTAAGTTTTTTTTTAAAACTCTTCGCGATTTAAAAGTTTCGTGCGTTCTTTAAAAAAATGGAGAAATTTTCTATATATTCTTTCTTTTTCTTTTTCTTTTTCGCGTTATTATGACGAAATTATTATATTGGGATTTTTCGGTGCTGAGTTTCAGGCTGCAAGATCGACAAAATGTTGTGTTATCACACTAAATGTAGTTCATTCTTTGTACATGTTTCATGTAGTTTGAATCATTATATTTGAAGGTCTTCAGGCGACACTAGACAGTCTATGAATGTAATTCACTACTTCGCTGAAATAAAGAAATCTTCCATCTTACAGCAGTATATCGCTTTTCGCCTTTTTGGGCACAGTCTACATATATTATTAGGAAAAACAACTGACTTATCATACACGTTCTTATTACTCGTTGACGGAGGAGAGCTTGCAGACAGTATACGGTTGTAAATCCACAAGGACAACTCTGTTATTTAAGCACACCCAAGCTCAATCTACGAGTACATCTGTACTGTATTCTTATTAGGAAAACGGAAAACGGTTGCATCAATCAGAGACCAAAAAGCCTGTTTCATTAAAGCAACATCGGGCAGATGGACTAAAGCTTGGGTGACCTGTGCACCCGAGTCGCACCGCCTGAAGGCGGCGTCTACCTAAATGTCTTCGCTTATAAATTATAATTATTTTGTATTTTTTTTTTATACACTAATATTATCTATCACGTAAGGGTCTATAAAGTTAAGAAATAGGGACTGCGCCTCCCTCGATAGATCGATCATTTCGTGAATTCTTTCGAGGGAAGTCAACTGCATAGTGCTAGCTAGGCGCTTTCACTTTAATAATGCGTGCACTGTTTGCAATGCATTTCGTATCATTTCAGCTCTGAAAATCTGTTTTAAATCAGACAATGCCCCTCAGTTGCAATTGTATTTTCCTCTCATCTCACTTCTGCTTAAAAATGTTTTAACACTGTTTGGAGAGATTCCTTTTTGATCAGGAAGAGTTGGCCACGTTTAAAACGCACCACGCGAGTATGGGCTGTCACGTTCGCTTGAAATGCGTGCAAGATATTGCCAAAGGAAAAAAAAGCTTGCGCTCAAGTTTCTTAATATGACATATGGCCTTTTTTATGCCTTCATTCAGTCTTAGTAGTCGTAAATTTACAAGTTTCAGCCCATATTCTTTTGCTTTAAATGAATGTACAATCCTGGGAACATCCGAACAGTTCCATCTTATTTTACTTACGTTATTTTTGCCTCTAAGCATTGTTCATAACAGCAAGACACAACACATACTGGGCTTGGTACTCAAGTCCAGTGTTGACCTTTTGTCTTTTCAACGTCTCCAAAGCTGCCATGCAGTTTACATGGGGCAGGGGAGTCGCATAGACTGACTGTATTTCCAATTAATTGTATTGTACCGTACAGTATTGGCATCACCTGTTCCTCACGTACAGCAAGTAAGATAGTGCAAAATTCGTGCGTAAAAAGTTAACAGGCGAAAGTAGCGGCTGAGTGAAAAAGAGGGATGTTTGGTCGAGTCGCTTCTCGGCTCCATTCCCACCGTTTTCTGTCGCGCTTCGTTTTATTTATAGAACGTCTGGAAAAGGCAAATAATTCGCAATATTTGCTGCATTATTAACAAAAGTTACTTTTTTAACTGCAGCGCGAAAGCATGGGATCGTGTTACACGGCCTTACTAAATCCTATCCGCAGACGCCACTCGCTTGTGATGTTTGCGGATAGTACTTTAAAAGGCGTGTAACACGATCGCATGTTTTGGCGCTGCAATAAAAGAGTTAGTTTTGTTGAAAATGCAGAAAATTACGAATTATTTGATCCCTGCACCCGGTTTTTCAGAAAGAGCTGGTAAAACACATTTTGTCTTGTAGTGGTTGAAAAGTAATTAACTGTGAAGGTTTTGCGTGAGTGCGCCGCTTCGGTCTTCAAATTAAAACCAGTTTCAGGAGAGAATACGAGCATATTATGTTTCTTCCTATGATCTGAATAGATATCGATAATTCAAAGATGCCACGTAAGATCTTAACCCGTAAGGGAAACGCTTTCTGCGTATAATACACGATGTAGATCGATCCGACGAAAGCACAACCTCCGTTTAGCTCTGTAGACAAGGGAGTGCTACTCACATATATTATGGTCGGGTATGTGCCGACCGTTTTAAAATTTGTATCTCGTTTCTGTAATATTGTTATGGTTCCCCTCATTCACCCATCCTCTTTAGCAGTTATTGGCATTTATATTGGTGGTCAATTTTTCGTAGGTCCCCCATTATCCTCTGCAGCTTTGAAAAGCGCAACTCAGTCGGAATAAAAGTAGTATTTTAGGATGTACCCCACCCCCCGACTCAACCCACGTTATTCTTTAAACCATTCTAAAGTGTTATCCCAAAAGAATCTTTTCATCCGGAAAGAACTTTTTATCTCATTTTTTTTTTCCTGAGGAAACACAACAGACCTGGGTCATTCAGTCGAGCAGCTTAAAACCACTTTTAAGCAGCTCGAAAGGCTATTCGTAAGGCTATTACGAATGAGTTCCGCTTTTCGACGTTGTGCAAAAATATCACAATGTAATTCAAAGGTAGCCTTGAAACGTCTTTATTTTCTTGCTTTCTTTTTTGTTTGTTTTGCTGATGCATCACAACTCACATTTTAAAACATGTCTCCCATTTTCTACAACTTCTGTTCAGTGCTTTCACTGAGAAACAATATGATATACCAATTCTTGATGACTTAAAAACACATATAAATTGTGCAATAAGGTGTACTCCACAGCTGGCATAAATAAACAACATTGCTAATTCCTCTTGCTGTTTAAACAATGTAATACATCAGTAAAGTTTATTATTCAAGTCTAAGTTCACCGCGATGGATACTGCCCCGTGGATCCGCAGATCTGCGTATTTCCGCTTGACATTTTAAATACTCTCAAGAAAGTTCTCGATGGATCTCATTTTATCACCTTTGGTTCTCGTTGGCGTAGCCTGTCAGTTAAGATTGGAGTGGCCGTCATTAGAATATAACAAAATGCGTTTTTTGCCCTGAAGATTGTGATGAGTGAGGTACTCTGTTCAGAATGCCATGGCACACAAGTGAACAACGGCACAAGTAGCAGGGTAAGCTAAGTTCATCAGTCCTGAATCTGGACAGGCGGTCAGTTTTTGGGATTAAAGTATAGCTATTCTTTCATCTTTTATCTCTGAGTCAGTCTTCAGATTCCTTACAACCGGACGAACCCAGTACAACAGACATCTTGCTTCAGCAGTCTTGAGGAGAGTGCAACGAACATAAAGCATGCTAACACGAGAACCACAATACTGCGCTCCAGAATAAATTCCTGGCAAGAGTATAATCTCGTAAATCGAGATTCCCGTGGTGTCCCTGAAGAACCAGAAAAAGAATCTCTTCGCTCAGCTCGGGTCTGAATCATCTTTTTGACTGTGCCAGGAAGGACTTCAACTTCTGAGATTAATTAGTGATACGGCTTCCACAACTTCAACTAACGTTTACTTTGAACGGATTGATGTTTGTTTCAGATCGGGTTTATATACACACCCCCAAGACATCATTGATGTTTCTAATTGGACCTATTGTTGTTTCGCTGCGGTGTGCGAGCTCAAAATAGCGCAACCTGTTTTGCAACCAGTTTACAACAGGATATGTTTCCCGATGTGCATTTAATAACCGTGCTTTTATGCGCTTGTATCTTAAATATTTACAACCAAAGTGTTCTTTGACTGTGTTACTATGACTAATGTCCCACAAAGTTTTTTTTTGTCTATTCGTTTCTGATGTCGTATTTCCTTGCCTGGTCTCTCTGGATGCATTATGTCATTGATATCTCTTAAACAGTTTATTTTTGGACGATTTCCCATGTCTTTCGCCGAGTCGTCTGTCGCCTTGGTGGTAAAGCTGTTATGTGTCTGTCATTAAGTGACTTCAGGTAATTGAGTTTTTCCTAGAAAAAAATTAGGACGTAATACTGAGGTCAAGACATCTGCCAGAATTTTGTGCAAGGCCGAAATCAGAAACGTTATTGGTTGAACGAGTGGACGCGAGAGGTACGACAACATTTTTCTTTCGTTTTTGCGTTTCTTTTCCTTTCCGACATAGTAAATGTTCCTGTTTCAGGAAAGCAATTAATGATTCTCCGAGTCATAGAACAATCTGTTTAACTCTTGATCCGTTTCTTAAATTTGCGTTTGATAATTTCACATTTAAACACTTGTTTTCTAAATATTAAAGGAAAAGAAGTTACGTCCTTAATCCTTTTCTCCTGTTTCGAAATACCGTTTTAGTCTCTGAATTCCATTTCATTTCCTTTTTTTTTTTTTTTTGATGCGATCTGTCATTAACAGTTTTGGAATGGTTTATTTTAAGACAGCTTCCCATGGTTTTCCGCTCGACCATTATGCTCTGGATCGGTTTTCACTTTAAAAAATTTAAACATCCTCAAAGCATTTCTGATGAAATTAAGTCTTATTTTCATGAAAATAATGATAATGAAAAAAAGATATGTCTTCATTCATTTTCAAGAAATCAGGGATATTATTAAACTGTATGAGAAAGCCAGATACATCAACTGATCTCCTAGTTAGTCGGTTAGTATTTCAACCAGACTTTCTTTATCTCGATAAATCCTAGTTTCTAATAAGGCGTGTGACCAGGTTTTTGTCAGGAAACTTCACAAGTTTGTTTCCTCCAAACTAGAGCGCTGACAGATGTGAGTTTTGACAACTTCCCTTTTAAGTAAAGTTGAAATGGTAAATTGGCCACCGTAACAATTACAAAAGCTGACGTTTCGAGCGTTAGCTCTTCGTCGGAGCGAATAGAGGAATTGTGGGTTGTGTGTGCTTTTAAAGGCAGAAAATGGAGCTACGTTATTGGTGGGA